CTGCCCGCTCGGGACGCCAGGTCTCGCCGAGATCGGAGCTCAGCTGCAGGGGGAGGAGCCGGGCGTGAATGGCCATTGCCAACCTCTCTGCCCCTCCCGCGCCCCACGTGCCAGGCCCCTGCCCACGGAGCTGTGGCCAGCACAGGGCAGGGGGCCATGCGGGCCAGGACGCCTCGCCCGGCTGCAGGGGGGGCGAAGGAGGCTCCTGCCCAGGGCTGCGCGGGGAGAGGGCGGCCGGGCAGGGCCAGGAGGGGCCCCCACCCCGGACCCGCTGAGGCTGGCCTGGCTGTCGTCCCCGGGGCAGATGGCGTGCATGCGCACCAGCTGCTGCTTCCTTTTGGGCCACTGCGCCCTGAGATCCAGGCCCGCGAGCCCGTCTGCCGCCTCCACCTGCTGACAAGCACAGAGCGGGGTCAGGGCCGCCGGCGGAAGAGGGGACGGGGCAGGGGCTACAGGCAGGCGGATGCGATCCCAGCGCCTGCCCTTCGCTCGCAGATCGCCCCGAGCGGTGGCCCAAAGCCGCCATCTGGCCGGAGGGCTGGGCACGACCCCGGCCGGATCGCACAGGGCCCCGGCCTCTCACCCTGCCGCCCAGCTCTGCCTGCTGCTGTCCGGCCTGCTTCCGCAGCTCGCAGAGCTGGTCCGTCAGCTCGAACACCTTCCTGCGGAGGGAATCCTTCTCCAGCAGGTTCTGGGCGATCTCCAGCTGGGCCACGTCCCTCGCGCTGTAGGCCTGGGGGGACAAACACCGTCAGGGACGAGGAGGCAGGGAAGGGCTGACCCTGACGCGGCGCCCAGGCATGTCAAACTCCCAGCGTCCTCAGGGCCGCACAAATGAAAACCGATAGCTCTCAGGGCCCCCAAAGCAAACGTACTTCTACCGCCAAGGCATCATTGGGTACGATTAGAAAGTACGGGGTAGGTCTATCTGGTCTTGTTTTAACAGAATACAATCATTCCAGGTGTAAAACTGTAATTTGCTCATAAAAACATGTAAATAAAAAATTAAAGGTACCGGTACTTTGTAATTGTTTTATGATACGTAACAAGCATAGACCAGGGTTAATGAAAGACCAGGTGTCTGTGAAAATTTCAGATACTTTGGAAGTTTGAGATTTTGCATAAATGTAATTAGTTGTGCAATTGCAAAAAATTGATGTATATTTAGTGATGTAAAATTAATATACATTTTGTGATTTTAATTGAGAATAAATACATAAAAAAAAAAACAAAATACCCCCCTCCACTCCCTCAGCATCCCCCCCC